CTGGCTAAATCCTTCTGAGGGTTACTCAGGAGGGTGACCTCTATAATATATGTCAAGCCCAAGGTTATTGGAGGTGGGTGTGCTAATCTAAATAATTACCAAATGAAAATTTTACAAGATATTTTGTAATTTATGTCAAAATATTGGAACTTTCAAACCTTAATAACTCAAAAAGTTCTTCATAAAAAAATACTTTATTATAGCGTTTTGGAAAGCTTTCGAGGTCAGCTACAAGAATACGTAATAAAAAAGTAGGAGATGCCATTTAAAAAAATTGGTGTGACCTTTATGTGACCTTCAAATAATTCTTCAAGGTCAAACCAATGGTACCATCTTATTTCCCCCTCGAAACCATACAACTTTTGTCTGAAACATTTTTGTCTGCTGGGCTCAGTTTTCGAGATATTTTACTGTCCAAGTTAGAATGGGACATCCTGTATACGTATACCGTTTCTTTCCACATTAGTTCTACGTGCCGATTTCTTTTTCGGACATAACGCAGTTTATATTACACGTGGAATTATTATCGTCAGCAGATTCACGTATTCGAATCGATAATTATTTTTCAAATGCAATTCGCATTTTTCCGATACTACATTTAGCATTCAATACCCTCCCCCTCCCCATTTTCACCGTCCTGTAAATTAATTTTATTGCGAAAAATATTACCCCAGCCAGGATTCGAACCTAGGACCTCCCTCAATCCGTGACAGGCGTCGTAGCCAGCTCGACCACTGGGGCTGTGGTAATATTATTCGCAATAACTAGTATACTTTAGAAGAACGAAAGACTTATTTACTGACGCTATAAGTTTGACCTTGAGTGGCCAAGATCAGGACAAGATCACATTAAATTTTTTAAATAGAACCCCCTATTTTTTATTGTGTATTTTTGTAGTCCTACTTCAGACCTTTTCAAAGCACTATAATTTTACCCCTTCTAAAAAAGCCGTTTCGAAATTATCGAGCTTTTTATGGTGAGATATGATCTTGCCTTGCTTGGCTGAATAAGTTGTTGATCTTGCGTTGGTTGATTAGACATCTTAATATCATAAAAAGCTCGATAACTTCAAAACAGCTTACTTAGATTAGATAAAATTATGGTGTTTTTAATTAAAGTGGGTAAAATTATAGTATTTTTAAGTTCTGAGGTAGGGCTACTAGGAATAAAAAATAGTGGATCCCATTTAAAAAATTCAAGGTAACCTCGTCCTGAACCTTGGTGATGCCATCCAAGGTCAAACTCATAGTGCCAATAAACAAATCTTTTGGAGCCCTACAACTTTTATCAGAAATATTTTTTCTAAAATGCTTAGTTTTTTAGACATTTCGCTGCCCCGGTACTCTTAATACACCCTGTATGAACGGAAATTAAATTTCATATAAAATTATATGTATACATTTATGTTTTTTTATATGAATTGTATAAGTCACATTAATAAAAGTTTTAGTTATTAAAGCGCTATAATAATATTTTTCTCACGTATGTAATATCATGTATGATAAAGAATTTACCTTAACTTCCTGTGGTTTTGCGTTTGCAATAATAAAAGTCTCTTTGTAAATTGGACTGGCGGTATGCCTGATACCTCTTGTACGAAAACTATGTAATTTTTGTCGTTTCTTATGGCTCCATGATTGCTTCATAATATTTAACGCAACGTAAGGTTCCAACGTTCCGTTGTATTGTTTTGGAGGAAGGCCACTCAGCGCCTGTAAAACAGACAAATACGTTTTATTTTCGTTGCGGGATTTCATTTTATGTACCGAATCACTTATTTAAGTATTATAGTAATGGATTGGTGTAAAAATTCTTGATATTTATGATTCTTGTTACTATTATATTATAGTTGATATACAGGGTGTCTCATTTTAAACGATCCACACAAAAATCTCCAAGAATATGAAAGATACTGAAAAATGTTTCAAACAAAAGTTATTTGGTTCGAAGGGGGACATAAGGTGGGTGCCATTGACTTGACCTTGGATAGTCATTTGAAGGTCACGTGAAGATCATCTTCAATTTTTTAAATGGAACCCCCTATTGTTTATTATACTATCTTATTCTACTAATTAATATGAACAACTCTTGTTTGAAACATATTTTGATTTTCTAATACTTTTTGAGATATTCAAGAGAAAATTTATAACTTTCAATGTACAGCTTATGATATCTCGATAACTGTTTGTCGAAGGGAAAATGTAGAATATGATTTCGTATTGCCGTTCTAGCTAGGGATATTGGTAATGGCGTTGTTTTCCCGAGCTACACGCTTCCGTAACGATAGGTAAAGACAAACGATCCTTTTGTTGTTTTTAGAGAAAGAGAGAGAGGTGTGTGTCTTACGCCCGAGCATTAAAACCGTTCAGTTCCCAATAAAGCAAATACTCAAGTACACTTGTGTGGGTGTGTTCAGATTCCTAACCCGATGACTGGGGGGTGAGTTGCTCAGAGTTTCGACTCTAACCCGATCGATTTACTTTGAGTAAGGCTGTGGCTCTGAACGGTCTGAGTTATCTTTGTTGTTAAAATAGGAAGTAAACAAAAGTACGCCATGAATAGCCGAAAAATTATTATTTTGATAGCTACTTCTACGAGTGAACAACTGTTCAGATTTCTATTCAGTGAGACGCAGGAAAGTAGTGACGAAGAATAAGAGTTAGCCGAGGCATTTTTATTGGAAGCCCATCTAAGGCTACGTGGTCCGTCGAGGAAAGCTGTGCGAATTGAAGGTTATGTGGAGAACACAGTCCCAAGATTTAATACAAAACAATTCCGTGAACATTATTGAATGCTGCCTAGCACATTTGAACTGATAGAAAATTGTCTTGGGCCTATTTTGGCGGGGAACACCGGTAATAAACCTTGCATCCTTGTTCATACGCAATTGCTTGCTTCATTGTGGCTGTTAGCAACATCAGATTCAACACCAATTTGTGAGTCAGGTCCGCTTCTACAACATTGATCTCCGTCATGTTTCAGCTTGAAATTCTCAATTTCAAGCTTGCCGCCAAAACATACCGAGTAACTTTTTAACCGACGAAAAATGGTAGGTTGAGAAGTCGACTCTAGAGTTAACTCGATTACTCTAACACGGAGATCTGAACGCGATCTGCCAAGTCAAAAAATATTTACTCGGATGCTATCTGAACGGTATCGGGTAAATTTTTCTACTCGGAGTAAGGAATCTGAGCACAGCCCCGATTTGAATGAGACGTGGATCAGCTCAGTATCATAGACATAGTATACAACTAATTGTAACTGTAGGTACCCATACAGCACACAAATGTTGAATCAACATCTCAGAAACGTTCCAATACAACATTGCAATATTGCATCAATATTACGAAATGTAGATTCAACGTTGAAAATATATTGCAAAAGCGTCTAATGTCCGCTGAATTGTAATGTCTTGTAGACGTTACAATTCAACATTCAGAAAACACTGTTAAATTATATTGAGTTTATATTGGTCGCGTTGAGCTGAATATTTTTTACAACTGTTGGAAATGCTGGAATTGGATTATACCGCTAACATAATCCAATCTTAGCTCAGCAAAGAACCCCGCACTACCCTGTTGAAAATACCCGATTAAAACCGATTGAAAATTTTGAATCCGCATGAATCTGGATTCTTGATGCAGAAAATACCGATTGACGCGATAGGGTCAGATTTGAATCGTGTTCAATCAGGAATTTCCAGATTGATTTTGATCCGCGTCTATCGGTTTCAACCCGTGATAAAAGTTCGCCGATTGGAACCGATTGGCGCGAATTCAAGTCAATCCGGAAAAGTTCTATTAAAAACAATAGACAATTCAGATACAAATTCGCCGATTGGAACCGATTGGCGCGGATTCAAGTCAATCCGGAAAAATTGTATTAAAAACGATTGACAAACTTCGTCAGAAAATCCGATAGAAATTGATTGTTACTGCTTCAATTCTATCTGGAAATACCGGATTGAATCCGATTGATCTCGCATTTCCACCAATCCGGTGCCCGATTGGCCCGATTGATATCGAATTGAAACCGATTAATTTTTTATAATAAATTTAGTCTTCACAATTAATCGTTGTGTTTGTATAAAAGAAGACTGACTAGGGCAATGTAAGCCAGCACCAGATTTTCGGTAAATGTCATATATTAAAAATTGAACAAAATTTACATGTAATACAATGGTATATGTATAATAAATAGGTACGTTTCGGTCACTATATGTGACCCTCTTCAGCCAATGTGTTGTTGTATAAAATAAACTTCAGTTAAAATAATTATCTGATGCGAATTGATGAGTCACTTAGAAAATAATGTGCCGTTGAACGGTCCCCGAGAATTGTATATATTGTCCGTGAAAGTAATACCTTATCATAGATGTAAGTCGAAAAACTATTTCTTCAACTTCTCCTATTTCGCAAAACATGTGGGCGATGCGACACTTAGCATGGTATCGGAGCGGCGAAATCATGATACTAGATTAACAGTTTAAAAAAATTGATTATACAATGTGTCCGTCTTATTATTAAAATTAAATAAATAAATAAACATATGTACAATATGTCGATGATGAATTAAAATTCAGTAGTGTAAAAAATAAAATTATATGTATAATATGTATAATATAAAGATAAATTAATATAATAACAGTTAATCGTTTAAAGGAATTGGATATACAATGTGTTACTCATTAAAATTAAATAAATAAATAAATATATGTACAATGTGTCAACGAGCAATTAAAATTCGGAGATATAAAAATAAATTATAAGGTAAAAAGGGGAACCAATTTGAAATTATAAAGATTAACTCACTGTGAAATAGGAGAGTCGGCCTTCATAAGACGGACACATTGTATAATCAATTTTTTTAAACTAACTG